ATAATAGGTGAATATTCCAACTGTGATAGAAACATTTATATCACTTTTAGGTTTTTACATGAGTCCAAAGTCAAAAACAAAAAAATAAATAAAAAAACAAAAAAGTCCCACACCAGGGTGTGGGTCAAAAACAATAGTGCATAATCTTCTGGTGCCAAATAAAGTGCTCCATGCAGATCTTTTGTGCTCCACCACCATAAGACAATATATTGCACTGGTGTGGGACTATTTTTGTTGTTGACCTTGGACTCGCTAATTTAACACTTTGAGGTTTTTACAGGATTCCATCACAGCTGGAATATTGTTCACCTATTATGTATGTTTAGCCATACCTTATTTAATTATAGCCTTGTTCAACCAAGCATAATCAATCACTCCTGCATGTGCAGCACAGCATATGGGTGGGGAAACTGCTTACTTGAAACAACAGACAGTAGGAAGATTAATGGCTAAGGCCCTGTTCGGACAAGAAACAGCTTGCACAGGAGCTAACTGGAGGAGAGGTTGCTCATCAACCATGCCTTGTCTGCCATAAATTAACATAGTTAGTGTTGTCATATATTACAGGGATGAGGAGTGATTATTTACACACTAGAGTATGGATACCGTATTAAACAATTCTCAAAAAAAAAAAAAAGTGACGTTTCCCACCAGAATTGAACAAGAATGTGCTCTGCATTTCTGTGCAATGCAATTTTAAGCCCATTCATCTGAATGGGCTGAAAAATAACACCAAAAGTATGCATGCAGTTCATCCGGATTGCATGGTACTGCAATCTGGTGCAGGCAAACACTACATTGAGATGTTATTAGGAACATAATGACACTTGCAGCATATTGTACACCAAATGTAGTTTGGGAACTTGCACAGATTGCAGGTTTCCCGCACCACAAACAGGCACAAGAGCAAGAACTAAAGGATAAGTGTCAGAGTAGCCCATCCCGCCATCTAACTCGCCCACCATCTTATTAACGTCTTTTAAAATAAGCAAGCTGGCCATAGAAAGATCAAAATCCGACCTTTTAAGCAGGGAATGGCCAAATTTCAATCCGTCTATGCCATCTTATATATAGCGCATCAACTACATAGAAAACAATGCAAATGTGAAATTATTTTACAAATAAAACTTTATTAGTGCAAATGTATTGTTACAGTGCTGATAATTTGTAAATCTATTCGAACCTAAAGTCGATTGGGAAAGTATTTGGGGAAAAAAATTATGTAAAAGAAAAAAAAAAAAAAAAAAAAAAGTGGTGGTAATTAAAACCAAGCATACTGAGAAGCCTTGCAAGGATATCAAGGATGTGAGGCCTACTTTCACCATATTAGAAGACATGCATCTACTGCAGGATCTTCCAGTTATATTTGCACAAATCCTGAAGATTGGAGTGATGCCTATAGCAACCAAATTCCAGTGGTCTTTCTATACCGATTAAAACAAATCTTTGACCAACTTGCAATTTTTTTTCCTTCAGCCTGTCACATTATATGCGGTGGGTGGCATTTATGTTTTTGATTCAATGCACAAGTGCTTTAACAATAGGATTCTGTAGGGAAAAGCTAAATTATTGTCATATCAGTACAAACTTCTGCCTATTCTCTGCAGCCAAATATTGCTAACAATCATACAGCCATATATTCTTCAGTAGTTACAAAAGGAAATAAAGTCCACTCTGTAAGAGCCAAACACTTTTTTCTAAACCCAGATATTACCTTGTAATAGTAGCAGTGACAGCACAAGGCCTGCTTAGAGCTGTGGGTGGGATGAAGGAGCTCCATCCACTAAAGGCTACTAGCATAACAATTCAGCTTTCAGTTTACAGTATGACCAGAGATACATTAGCATGGTCACTAAAGTATCACAACCTCGAAGATATCCCAGCAATCAGTATACAAGTCCATGGGGCCCATTATGTTCAATACCGTGGTCATTATCAGGCATTGTACATGTAAAGATATTGCTTTTATGGCTATGTCCATGCATTGTTTTTAGGAAAATTTTGTGATGCAACACATCATATATTACATCACACTGATCTGGGTGCAGTCAGCCACAATCATAGGAAGAAACTGATTGGTTCCTATACCATTCATTAAAACACTTTAATTCATAAGGGTGACTTTCAACAAATTTGAAGGTGCACTACCCACCTCCACCACTGCAAGGGTTAATGCTGATCTCCAGCTTTTAGTAATGTTTAAATAGTTGGGACCAAGCTCTCAGATATGCATGAACTGTATGTAGTCCCAGCTACATACTGTACAATGCTGTGTTCGGTCAGTGGGATTGGAAGTTTCTGTCCCACACCTGGAAAAAAAAAAAAAAAAAAAAAAAAAAAAAAAAAAAAAGTGTATTGGGTTGAGTGCTGCTCAGTCATTGACGAGCTCTCTGAATTGGAGTCAGAGATGGTACTGTCGTTTGCTCATCTCTGCCTCAGCCAATCAGAAGAAGCCTTGTATTCATTCTGAAAATACAAAGCTCCCTGTGAATGGCTGAGCAGCGCTCAGTCCAATTCAATTTTGTTCTGGGCATGGTACAAGAAGTCTTCCCGATCCTGCTGCCAGAAGATGGTATTGTATACTGTATGACTAAGCCAAGTCTACATACAATGCAAAGCACTGTTGCATCTGTTAATTAAGTAAATAGTTCATTTGGACCAGCTCGGTCCAAACAAACTATGTAAACTAGCTAGGGATCAGCTATCCCGGTATCTAAACGCCCTAAAACGTAATACATTGCAGCTTACTAGTCCTTGGATGATACATAACTCTACTTGTCCCTGGGTAGCTACACTCACTCCTCCACTGTATCGATTGAGGACGCCAGGGTTGCCATACAAGCATGTCTGCAATTGTCCATATCCATTACATGGAGGGGTGATGGGATAAATAGTTTAGACAAGATATATAGGATTGTACTTTCAGCTGACCTCACGGAAAATAACAAGGACACTAAATTTCTAGCAAGATCAACAGGTATTTTCTGTACTAGATGAAAATGTTCTGAGCCTGAAGAAGTTAAACTAATACAGCCACCACATCTAAGGATTGGTAAGTCACAAATATTTCCTTTTTTGGTTTACTTATTCTTCCAATGCTTGTTTTTGTGCAAGGGGTTTAGAGTAAGCACTTATTCCTCCTGGTAGCGGGCATTCTCTGGATGTGTGTGGACCCTGGCCATCTTCATGAACAATGCAGGGCTGCTGGTGATCCACCACAGTGTTAGTTTTTCAGCCACCCCAAGCCGAGCTTTGAATATCCAGGTCATTTCCATGCAACAGTGAAAAAAAAAAAATCAATATGTTAACTCCCTTTTAAGAGTAGAGTGTCACATTAGTCCTACTGTATCGCCATCAAGTCCATTAGTGTTTTATACTATGTCCACTTGGATGAGAACAGCAAGAAAAAAAAAAAAAAGACTGATGAAAGGGTTAAAACTTCATTGCTGTGTCCCCAGTGGAAGTTCTAATCTCACTTTATATTGCTGGAACAGGAGAATAGAGTAATAAAAACATGACAGACATGACTTAAAAACTAGTGGAAGGGGTGATGCGATTACTAGTATTAAAGGGCAATTTCAAACAAGTAACACACAGGCCAGCCAATATTGTAGAAGGACCAGAACACTATAATATCACATTACTGACATATTTGAGCTGATTTACTATAGGAGTTGATGATCACAACTTGAGTATTCACTTAAGTTATCCCATCACACAACAAGCATCTGCACATTAAATTAAAAGTGAACAGGAATTTGGTTTTCACACGATTGAAAAACTGAAGTGAGTATTCACACAATGTGTTGAGTGAAGATCCTCAATGAAGTCTGTTAGTTTATGAATATTAATCAGTCCGTGTATATGCCCTCTTCCCTCTACTTTTATACAACCAATGTGTGAGATGGTCACTTGTTATAATTGTATATACGGTTTTGCCACCAGCACATTTAACATGAACACACGAGACAATAAAATCTAAACACTGCTTATTTTAGCTGTTACATTAGGTGACCCTAAAGCTGGCCAGACAGAAGGACTTTATTTAGATTGTTTTATATGGATAACATCCATTATCTGCACTTCTTTTCATGTTTTGCCATTTTCCCCCAAATGCCGTAATTTCAGGCTCTGTGCCATCAAAAAAAAAAAAAAAAAAAAAAAACCCAGCGTGAAGTTGACTTTTTTTTTTTAGATCCTTTGTACCCTTTATAGTTACACGGTGTGCAACACAATTGCACGGATAATGTTCACACTGCTTAACAATCTTCCTCTGCATAATGGACAATCTAACTTCTATGTGAACATATATAAAAAAGAAATCTAATTAGGTATCATTTGTAGATTGGATTTTTGTTACAGATGTATTTTAAGAAGAAGCATTATAACAAGTTTCCCCTTGATCAAAAAAAAAAAAAAAAAAAAAAAAAAAAAAAAACCCCCAACAAACCTGCTTCCTATTATCAATAATAATTTTTTGACAGATCACTCTATTTTAAAGAAGAAATCTAATCTTAAACCTGCTACCACCCCATTCTAAGTCCTATAGTAACAAGCCTGTTTAGGAAATATCTGTATACTTACCTATTCCCTGGGTGCTCTGGTCCAGTCACATGCTAGGCTCCCAGTGCTTCAGGGTAGAGGAGGGACCCATTGTAAGCTAGGTATTGCAGCCATTGTCAGAAATCCTATAGTAAGCTAGGTATTGCAACCATTGTCAGCAATTTCTCCTCTTCCCAGAAGCCAGCCTCGGGAGCCAATCTTGTAGGCCTGAGTGCATCTCCTAGGGAATAGGTAAGTATACACATCTTATCTCTACAGGCTAGTTAGTATAAGAATTAGTATGGGGGTGGGAGCAGATTTAAGATTAAAATAGGTTTAGACTGGACTTCTACTTTAAGTTTCTGAAATAATTTTTTTTAAACAGTAGTCGCTACATTTTGTTATCGTCCCCCAATTCCTCTGGGCCACATATAAATCTGCAGTCCAAATTGTAATACTTAACCATCAGGTGTATAGAGTCGGATTAGATGCTGCAGCTCTGTCGGATAGCCACTAACTGGGCAGCGTTGGTGATTTTTTACAAAATAATAAGCACACCTGTAGCAAAAGACATAGCCTGAGGTGCCAAGAGCAGTGTCATTAACCCGCACTTTACGACAGAGTGGGCACACTGTCTTTAGCTTGGGCAGAAGAGGGGAGTATGTTTCCAGGTCGAAGTGGACAGGTGGAGAAGGAGCAGGCAGGGAGCTTAGAGATTTGAGTGTATCTTGGTTTTCTGCTGAGTACCACCACTCAAGGAACTGCAGGAAGAAGACACCCAATGACAAGCTGGAAGACAGAGTCACAGATACACCACCAAGGACTTTCTTCAGAATGTTGCCCACACTGGAAAAAAAAAACAAACAAAAAAATAAGTCAAAAGTTACGACAGGATGAGAGCATGGACAATGTTGGCAGTGAGCTGCCATTAATCGGTACCGGATTAAGATATCAAGTATTGTGGGATTAAGCATTTCCTCTGCATTATGCTGGGTCACAGGAGATTCTAAAGGCGGCACTTTTGGCCAATCGAATGCTTGCCAATTACCAGGTCCAAGAGTGTAATCTGAGCCAAACAGCTCAATACTCACTTCCAACTGTTTAACTCCTGATCTCACTATACATGAGGTTTAAAATTTCCATGCAGCTCTGACTGGTGGTTAAAGGAACTTGTTAGTAATGACACCTAAAGCAGAACTAAACTCAATTTAACAGTTTCCCAAAACAGGTACTTTCAAGGCACTGTCTGAGTGCACTCAGCCTAACCCCATGGTGTCAATGGCTCTGCACATGAAATTGGAGGTCATTGGTACAATATTTTTCTGACTGCATATTGACTTTGGTGCCTCAGCTAGGCTTTAAAATACACCAAGTATTGTCTACAGTAAAGAATATGCAGAAGCTCTTCTACATAATTAACAGCTCAGGAAAGAGGCTTCCTAGATCACCAAAATACAGGAGTGGGTTGATTTGGCCGCTATAGCTATACCCGACTGAAAAAGTAAAAGCAGGTAAGATACCTTTTGTTCAAATGACAAATATAACTGATGGTAATTTGCTAGCTAGTGGAAATCAGAGCATCATGGTTTTTTGTTTTGCTTTTGTTTGTTTTTTTTATACATACAAAGTTTTTCTGGCTGAAAACAAATGGTGCATGGGAGAAATGAACATTTTAGTGTTCAAGTGTAAAAATATCCACTGGTAGAATATGCAAACTAGGCAAACAAACAGATATTGGGGGATTTGCTGTTGGGAAGAATCAGGCAGGCATATTGTCCAAACAGACCAGAGGAATTTGTACTGTTCACTAACAGCAGCCTGGAAATCATGACCTAGGATTAGTTGCATTAATTTTAATATAAAAAGTTTTATTATTCCTTATTTACACTTCACAAGGGCACAGTTTTAAAAAGATCTTTGTGACACCAAGGCCCCCATTCAGGTCTTGAGCTAGCAGGAACTAGGGATCCCACTCGTGATTTTTAAAGCTCGACATACATGTGTTTCTGCATGTCGCACATAGGGCAGCCCATTTACTTTGCGGTGTCAGAAATGGAAGCAATACATAGGCCAATGGATGACCTCTGGAGCCTGAGAACAAACATTTCCAGGGAATAAACTACTACTACCATGCAGGTCTCCTACACATCTGTCAGTATATCCGCTTGCCCGTACGGGAAAGCAGAAACTGACAGGAAGAATCACAGCACCGTGTTGGTTCATTGAAAACTACAAGCAGACAGCCGCTAAGGCTCTAGGGACTTGCAGTTTACTCATTCACAGAACACTGTGAATGAATGACGTGGCTGTGTGAGCAGAGCCCCACAAAGCTGCGCCGTTTTCAAATATAACAGCTAGTATAGGGCACATGTTCCCAAAAGTGAGTGTATCCTTTAAATCACATCACAATCGCCTGTACATGCGACTTCTGTGAGCTTCCACTGAAGTCTCTAGAGCCAAAATCATGCTAGAATCGCACCAAGGTAGTAAAAGAACCTTTCCCAAAATTTCTCGGTACTCAATCTGATATAAACAGCCACTATTGAAAGCAATGTGATATCCATTGTCTTGCAATTCTGTGTGACTCAAGTTGCATCTGAAATCTCATTACTGAGAACAAGGCCTAGTGCTTTGCAGGGGAGAGCCAAACGTTAATTAGATCTGACAGAGATACAAACAGGCAGATCAGTTAAAGCGGAGTTCCACTCACTCTGTAAAAAAAAAATAAAAGTCAGCAGCTGCAAAAACTGAAGCTACTGACTTTTAAAAAAAAACAGCCACTCACCTGTTCCACGATCCCACGGTGCCCCCGCCACAGCCCATTTCACCAGCCAGCCTGTATTCCAAGCGCCGGCATCTTCGGTGTGGGCACCCAATGTGACTGCTTGCAGCTTCACAGCCATGTGCCCACTGCGAATGTGAGAGTAGCGCTGCTCTTCCTGAATGGCCCTGTTGTCTTCTTGGACCTGTCACGTGTCCCACAAGACTATGGGGAGGGAGGGTAAAAGGACAATTTCCGCTTCTGATCGCAGTGGAAGTGGGAGCGGGTACCTGTCAATTTTGGGTACCCTCTCCCCAAAGGTGCCAATCCTTAATGGGGAGCAGGGGACCAATCTTTAATGCAGAACTTCCCCTTTTGGGTGGAACTCTGCTTTAACAGAGATCCTCATGCAGTCTTTCAACATATTAGTACTTCAACATTTGTGATGCAACACAAACGAGATGGCAAGACATGCACTAGATGCTGTGACCCAAAACAGGAAGTTACTTGGAGTAGGGAAAAGCTAAGTGAATGAATACATGGTGATAGAGGAATCATACAGGAAATAGAACTACCCTAGGATCTCAGCTCAGTGAAGAGTGAGAATGGTCATGTGATTGTGAATTCTTGGTTTCAGAGCCGGCGGGGACAGCTACAGCATCAGATCAATGCTGCAGCCATCTATGCGAGTATGCAGGTTTATTTTTTTCTATTCTCACACTCCTCCTTTAAAGCAACAAAAAGCATGCATTTGAAAGTGTATAATACCTTAAGGTTACCAGTGCTTAGATGTAGCATATTCTTTCATGTTTCAGCCAGATTATCCTACCTGTAAACACTTTGTTTTGTGCGACAAGGCTTTCATACCATGAAGCATCATACAGAGAAGCAACATTGTCAACCTAAGACAGATCTACAAAAACCTCTCCAATCTTTCCTTCTTAATAATATAGTGGATAGTGGTCTGTAGTGCTCATAGATAGTTGGCTTGGGATAGTTGGGAATGTTAGGCTCCTGTCTCACAAACATTCCTATCTGGTCCGACTGTCCATTTTTCAGGCAGATCCGATCGGAACCTCCATTCTCTATGGAGCGGCAGGTGTAAACTGACATGCATCCATTTACACCCACCGACATCCAATCCGATAAAAACAGATGGATGGAGATCCGTTCCTCTCCCGATCACACGGCAGTTGGGTGGAAATGGATAGGCATTCTGTTTACATCTGACCGCTCAAAGAGGAGAGCGGGCTGTGTCTTTGTCCTCTGCATAAGTGGAGCAGATTGCAGCCGAAGTCCGCCCTGTGTGAAAGAGCTATGAGTGATAAGAGTACTACAGAGGCAGAAAGCACAGGAAGTTATCAGCTGAAAATATTTCTGTGACGATCCACAAGTATTTTTTGCACTTACTGAACAGATAACAAAATGCTTTCAATGGTGTTTTAACTGACCAAATAAGTTAATTGTTATGATTTACAATTAAGTTTCCATAGGCTATTGAACTGACTCCGACTCTTTTCTTACTGGCCAGTAGTAAATTTTACCAACAGACTTTGAGAGCCAAAGCACCTCTGTAGATCTGTCATCTCCCACCAGAGAAGCAGTAAAGGCAGCAGATATCACCCTGGATAACCACCTGTATTCATGCAGCAGCTAGGCACAAGAAAATCTGGTTTCTATTCTTGGGTTAAAAAAAATTTGTACTGACACTATATTCTTTAGATTGTAAATTCCACGAGCAGGGCTCTCCAATTCCTTCTGTATTGAACTGTATTGTACTGTCCCCCTTATATTGTAAAGCACTGCGTAAACTTTTGTCGCTATATAAATCCTGTATAATAGTAATAATAATACTGCGACAATTCCATAAATGTTATCTGAGGATAAAGGGTTACTTTAAATAAAAATAAAATCAGCCACAACTCACCTCAGTACAGACTTTGTTGGAGTTTTTTGTGGTTGACTATCCATGGCTTGTAGGTCTTCTATAGTCAGTCTAGCAAGCTGCACTCCAGCTAAACTGAGCAGAGGAGAGTGATGCTTTGTATTCCACAGAATGTATCGGAGTTGATAGAACAGAAACCAACCTTCCCATGACAGTTTTACGTAAGGGTAGGCTGCCAGAATTGCTTTATAGCATCTTTTGCGGAATGATGTTGTGTTTTGTATAGAATAATCTTCCTCTTCTCGCAGTCTGTTTACTAGTTTCTCTAGCTTCACTCGTAGATAAGGTACCAGCACAAGCAGAAGCAGGGACTTCCAGTATTCTCTCCGTGGCAAGTTATGCTTCCCATTTCTGCCTAACATGGCTATGCGCTTTAGTCCATAGAAGTTCTCAGAGAAAGAAGCGCTCGCCCAAGTCAAATAGTGCTGTTGCAGCAGCAGATCCAGCAGGGTGTAAAGTTCATCAAACCACCTCCAAAGGGGGCCATAACGTGCTGGGTTTGATTCAGCAAGGACCTGTAAAGTTTGACAAGACAAAGCCTTAGTTTGTGTTTTAACAAATCTCTGTGTGTGCCACTAATCTTGCTTGCCTGTTCAAAAAGCTATAATAATAAAAACTAGAAAAGCTACAATTTCTGGGGAAATTGTGTGGAGTGTTCTTGCCTCCACCAGTAGTCTACAACTGTAGTGGTCGGAGTAACTGGGTGGAGTGGCTTGTCACTCTGCTGCCTGCTCACACACCTGGGTTCCTATGGCAACTCACTCTACAGCAAGGGCAGAGAAGAGGGTTAAAAACAAACTGCTCCAACTTGCTCACTTCAAGTACCAAAGAGCTTTATATTGTGAGAATCACAAGACCCAGACCTACATTTTGCTGCATAGTATGTCTCTGAAATATTAAAAATGAAAGCACAGTCGCAATTTAGAAATTGCCCTTCAAATTTGAGGTGGCTAGAGTGGAGTTTCAATGAATGTCAATGGAAGGCGTGAGTTGCGAACAAATGGTCATATTGTGAAAACTTTCAGGACTATGGCTGAGCAGTGGACATTTTTAGTGGCAGCAGGGATAGCTGAGCGTTTTGATATAAGATTTGTGTAGGTGGGCTTGAAAATGAGGGAGTGATGGCAGTTTAGAAATCATGTCCTGATTTTTCTGCTCACACTCTAGCTTTTGTCAGCTCCCACTCTAGTTTTGAACATTCCGCCATTCATTCCTATGGGACCAATTTCACCATAAAAACGCAGATATTTCGTGAACCATTCGGCGAAACGTTCCACAAAGTAATAGCACACCAATCAGGAACAATCCGCACATTTCGGTATATTACTGTCCATGTAGTGTAAAAACTGTGGGAGGAGTTAGGGTGGTAAATTTGGCTATAATAATAAGAATATATATGTGGGATAACAGTAAGTGGTCTTGACATGCAAGAACACTTAAATATGAATAATTGAATGAGAACTGCAGCCTAGGATACCAGGCAAAATACGTTAGAAACTGCCCAAATACAAATGACTAACACAAATTATCTAATAGTTTAAGTTATCACCAGTCAAATATGAAAAGTTGGGAGTGACATCTACTGACACATAGCCCTCATATATACCAGTTTATATCTCATTTACTTCTGGTATGTGGATATTAGGCTCTTGCTGAAATTGTAATAAGGAATACAAATTTTAAAATATATAATAAATCGAAGGTACATGTGATTATTAAACATAAAGTGGAACTAATTTTAATGATTACACAAAACAATGAGGCAGCTTTTATTGCAGAAAACGCATGCAATGTCTCTTCTGCAATAGCAAACACTTACCTGCCTGCTCACAGCCTTTCACTGAATGCACTCTGAGATGAGTTTGCGTGCAAACTTTGCACATTCAGGCTGTGCCAGATTGATAAGCCTGTGCGCATGTACATGATGACATCATTCCATGACTGGCCAATCAAGAAGCCAAAGTAGCCAGGGAAAAGATGACATAACCGCCGCATCACTGGAAGGATAAACCATCCTATCCTTTTCAGCTAAGGAAGTTGCCATGGTGCTGCACATGTGATCAGTCGGGACACCAGCCATTTGTTTGACAGTTTGGTTAAGAGTACAAGCAAATATAACAGTTACATTCTTGGCATGCCTGGAATGTAACGTTTTTTTCAAACTGTAAAATTTATGGGTTTAGTTTTAAATGGGTTAACTTTAAACAGAATGCTCAATTACCAGGTTGTATTTTATGTACAACATTTTAAAATCATCACCTGAATCTTCCTGATCAAAAATATTTCGGTTGATGATTTTCAAATTTTGTACATAAGAGCAACCTGGCAATTGAGCATTCTGTTTAACGGATTATTTTCTTTTGTGGATTTTTTGTAGGGATTGTGACTAACTAGTAGGTCAAATTCAAACACAAATACTTTAGGCATGCTTAGTTCATTTGGAATAAAAGATTCAGTAGGAATGGATTGGAAACCACCACCTTTTGCTACTGTTCCAACATACAGCTCCCAAACGGTCATGAATTAAAATTTTTTTCTCTCAAAGCAAATCAGCAGTAATATGCTGAGGGTTAGGAGGAGCCCTTTTTTACTGCAGCACAGTGGTTTGGTGGTTACCACTTTTGCCCTGAAGCACTGGGGTTCCTGGGCCAAATCCCCATCCAGACACTATCTGTATGGAGTTTGCATGTTCTCCCTTCTTGCATGAATTTCCTCCTGCATCCCAAAGGCATGTTGGTAGGTTAATTGATTCTTGTTTAATCACGTTAATACTTTCCACTTTCACCCCCTTCCTGCCCAGGCCAATTTTCAGCTATCAGAGCTGTCACACTTTGAATGACAATTGTTTGGTCATGCAAAACTGTACCCAATTTTATCATTTTATTCACAAATAGATCTTTCTTTGGTGGTATTTAATCGTCACTGGGGTTTTAATTTTTTGCTAAAAAAAAAAAAAAAAAAAAAAACCCCACACAAAAAAAAAAAAAAAAAAAAAAAAAAGGCAGTTTTTTTTAGTTTCGGTTTTAAAATTTTGTTGGTCCTTTGTGCTTCATTAAGTCCAGAGTCAACACAGCCGTCTACCAGGAGATTTGGGAGTACTTCATGCTTCCTTCCGCAGATGAGCTTTATGGGTATGCCGACTTCATTTTCCACCAGGACTTGGCACCTTGACCTCTCTGCGGCTTTTGACACGGTTGACCATCCCCTCCTCCTCAAAAAAACTCCACTGTCTTGGCCTCAGAGACTCTGCTCTCGCTTGGTTCTCCTCCTACCTATCGCAGCGCTCCTTCAGTGTTACCTATAACGCTGCCTCCTCCTCTTCACTCCCTCAAGGTTCTGTCCTTGGACCCCTTCTCTTCTCCATCTACACCTCCTCCCTTGGTCACTTGATAAACTCCCATGGCTTTAAGTACCATCTCTATGCTGATGACACACAAATCTATCCTTCTACTCCTCACCTCCCCCCCCTTTAGTCTCCTCTCGCATTACTAACCGACTAAGTGACATATCGGCATGGATGTCACTCCACTTCCTCAAACTTAATCTTTCCAAAACTGAGCTCTTAGTATTCCCCCCATCCCGCCCCCCTCCCCCAACTTCTCCATCAAGATCAATAACACAATCATCAGTCCCTCCCCTCATGCCAGGGTACTAGGTGTAACCCTAGACTCCCATCTGTCCTTTCAGCCCCAAATCCAATCACTGTCCAAATCTTGTAGACTTCACCTCTGCAACATCTCCAAGATACGGCCGTTCCTAACCTTGGAAACCACTAAGCAACTTATTCACTCCCTTGTTATATCTCGCCTTGACTATTGTAACTCCCTCCTCATTGGTCTACCTAATCGCAGGATATCCCCTTTTCAGTCTATCATGAATGCTGCTGCCAGACTCATTCACCTTACTAACCGCTCTGTATCTGCCACCCCTCTCTGCCAATCCCTCCACTGGCTTCCAATTGCCCAGCAGATAAAATTCAAAACACTAACGTGCAAAGCCGTTTATAGCACTGCCCCTAACTACATCACCGACCTGGTCTCTAAATACCACCCAAACCGTACTCTCTGCTCCTCACAAGACCTCCTACTCTCTAGCTCTCTTGTCTCCTCCTCCCATGCTCGTCTCCAGGATTTCTCACGGGCTTCACCCATCCTCTGGAACTCCCTACCTCAAGCTATCAGGCTATCGCTTACCCTGCTCACTTTTAGGTGCACTCTGAAAACTCATCTCTTCAGGGAAGCCTACCCTGACCCCGGCTAACTACTGAAATCCCCTACTTACCTCTTGTACCACTATCCTCTCCCTCCTAGATTGTAAGCTCCAAGGAGCAGGGCCCTCTAATCCCTCTTGTATTGAACTGTATTGTTACTGTAGTGTCTCCCTCCATAATGTAAAGTGCTGAGCAAACTGTCGGCACTATATAAGTCCTGTATAATAATTGTATGATAGAGACTGCATTGCTATGTGGCATATTTATGTGCTCTGTCACAGTACAGGGTGGAATGTACCCCGATTAAGTATCTTGGTTTTTTTTAATATACTTATATAAAAAATAAAGATTGTTAAGCTGCAGTATAACACAGTTCTGGTTTTGTGTTTAATACTGCTTTAAGTTCATAGCTTGCCACTTTTCACTTACCTTGATGACATGATGTAAAGCAGGTCTCACTGCTGCCATCAAACTCTCTTGGGCCACCACTTCAAAAATGGTAGGCCTGTCTGCTGTTGCTGAGGTTGTGATGTGGGCGCCACGTTCAGCCATCTTCAAAGTTCAGATGCTTGTCTTGGAAGTACGCAGCTACAAAGTATACCGCTTACCCAATAATCCCTGTAAATATAAAATGAAAACCGTTCAAAAGCTGCGTGTGTCAGATGCACAGAAAAGAGCAAGGCAACAGCACTGCCATCAGTTTCTTTCGGTTTAGAGTCCATACAGAGTTGAAATGTGATAGTTCATACTTACTATTTGTAAGTAGGTCAGCTCTGTGCCTTTCCATCTTCATGTCAGCTGCTCCCTGCAGCCACACATCACTCTAGAGCTGCTCCCTGGGGAAGGTATACAGTAAAACACAGGAATAGTAAGCCAGAGGGCATGCTGCATGAAGAAAGATGAAAGGTCAGGTTCACACACGTGTGTGTGCTGATATACCAGCCTGACAGCTCCACAACAGCTGCTGCACATTTGCATTCATCTCAGCTACATCCACCACATCTACTGCTAATCACTGTGTAATAAGCGAACCAGTACAGTAATCTCTGGGCCCTGTGTGTGCTTCTGCTCTCTAAATGCAACCACCAAAACAATCTGCGCCCTCTGGGTTCAGTTACAACCTCTTCTTTACGGGCTTCCGCTGCTTGGAACGCACAGGGACAATAACACAGCAGGACTTCCGGTCTTTGAGACGCACAACCTCCGCCCGGCTCTTGGAACGCATAGCTACAATAACACTGCAAGACTTCCGGCCTTTGAGACGCACAACCTCCGCCCGGCTCTTGGAACGCATTATTGGGACGTATGTCCGGTACTTGGAACGCAGGTGGGTGCATTGGGTGAGGTGCTCGCTGTTTCCGGAGCCGCTGTCTGTGCAGTCGGTTCTGTGCTCCAGGGGCTTGTCTGCTTCCGGCTGCCAGTTCTATCCCGACTGTGATTCGGTGCTGTCCCAGCAGGTGAGTAGGAGGAAGGGAGGGATGTGAGCTTAGCTTGCCTTCCTCACCATTGGAACGAGGAGCAGCTTCAGCCCAGATGTTCCCTGCTTACTGCAGCAAGAGGCAGATGTGCTGGCTGTACACTCCAATACCCTGCTCAATGTGTGCACAACGATCCCTATACTAGCCCTACACACTCAGCAGTCATGGCTCCCTAGTGCTGACTAGAAATGGGTTGTCATTGGATGGTGCTTTGGTATGTCTAATGGTGGCCATTCAAGATTTGATTTTATCTGATCAGTCAGACCAATCCACAAGCAATCAAAAAGGTAAAACTTCCCTTTGCATCAATTGAGACGCTTTGTAGATCAGATTTGATCAAACTGAGCAGAAAATTATAAATCGCCAATGGGCAGAGCTGGGATACTTTGCTTATGAATTCGATTGTATGGCAGTTGGTCAGGTTATGAGAATGCACGGTAGGAACTGAGCTGCAATCGATAATTTGTAGTCACATCTTCCTATTATCAATCAAAATCTGCATCCCCAATGCACGTGGATCGATTTGGCAACTATAGATCAATTATAGCTATCGGAACCATCTATTGGAAAATCGATCCTATATTGAAGTATGTATGTCCACCATTGTAGAAACTCATTGCATGGTTCATAAATAATTGCTTTCATTGAAAAGGAAAAGGATTGTATTGGTAGAAGGACAAAGGGCCACCATACACGTTCTGGTGACATTACACAGAATGATTTTACATAGGATCATATAGTCGATCAGTTACTGTTTAGGAGGAAAAAAAATGACTGCAGGATAAAAAAGATCAACCATGGATGGTTTTTTGGTATGTCTAATAGTGGTCATTCACGCTTTGATTTTATCTGATCAGTCAGACAAATCTACGATCAATCAAAAAGGTAAAACTTCCCTTTGCATCAATTGAGACGCTTTGTAGATCAGATTTGATCAAACTGAGCAGAAAATTATAAATCGCCAATGGGCAGAGCTGGGATGCTTTGCTTATGAATTCGATTGTACGGCAGTCGGTCAGGTTATGAGAATGCACGGTAGGAACTGAGATGCAATCGATAACTTGTAGTCACATTTTCCTATTATCAATCAAAATCTGCATCCCCAATGCATGTGGATCGATTTGGCAACTATAGATCAATTATAGCTATCGGGAACCATCTATTGATCCTATAGTGAAGTATGTATGTCCACCATTGTAGAAACTCATTGCATGATCCATAAATAATTGCTTTCATTGAAAAGGATTGTATTGGTAGAAGGACAAAGGGCCACCATACACGTTATGGTGACATTGCACAGAACGATTTTACATAGAATCATATAGTCGATCAGTTACTGTTTAGGAGGGGAAAAAAATGACTGGAGGATCAAAAAGATTGATGTTTTATACACTTAAAGTATATGTAAACCCTCACCTTGTAAAGCAGTCCATTTAATTTAAAATAGAAGTTAAAGGCAAAACACTATAGCTATTAATAACATTCTAAATAGAATTTTCCCCTTTTTCTGCATGTGATTACATTTTCTCTGTTCTCAGTTGCATAAGAGCTTGGAGAGGAGAAACAACAGCTCAAAAGAGCTTGGAGAGGAGAAACAACAGCTCATTGATCTTCCCAGTGAATGGCTGTGCAGGGTGAGGTCACCACTTGACCATTGGAGGAGAGTACACAGAGTTCCCAGCACAGCCAGAAAACCAACCACGCTGCGCTCTCATGCCTAGTATAGTCAGTCTTTAATAGGAAAGTAGAGGGACTGGCAGGAACATCAGGGATTTCACACAAAGGAAGCAATACAAAGAGAACAGGATACCGTTTCCTACAAGTATAAGGTACAGCAGGTATAAATCAGGAATATGAAATGTTGGGTTTACATATTCTTGAAAGCTCATTTAAAGGGTAAAAAAAGTTTTCCCATGCTCTGGGTCCATGCCTGCATTGCACAGGATAACTGCTTGTTTTTATCTAGGAGAGAGGAGAAAGGAGATTTATTTACCTAATCCTTTCATCCTCCCAGCACAAATCTGGTATGCAGGGCTGGTGCTAGACTATTTTGTGCCCTAGGTAAGACTGGCTACTTGCCCCCCCCCCCCAAAAAAAGAAAAAAGAAAATAAACAGTAAAAAATATTAATTTAACAAAACATGAAACTGCTAAAAAAAAATTCTAATTTGCAAAAATAAGTTCCATAAGATAGCTCTGACACATCCCAGGCAGGAATTCCTCAGGCAATGGGGGAGATAAAATGCTGTGACAGCAGGCAGCCCTGGAAGAAGCGGCAACTCAGCCGACCCAGACTGGCCACAGACACCCGGCATCTTTCTCTGGCCTTTTTTCTGCCGCCCCTCCCCGCAGCTGAATGATCATTCATGACATGGTGGCGTCCCACACAGAGAGTGCCAGCTTGTGCTGCGCCAAGGTGCCCCTAGGTGGCAGTGCGCATTAGGCGCTGCCTAGTAGAAGCACTGGCCCTGCTGGTACAGCATCCCCGCATTCCGGCAGTCTTGAGTTGTGGGCTGTTCCAGTTATCATCAGGCCCAGAGCAAACTCCATAGAGCAGGAACAGTCCACCACTGGACCGTGGGGGAGTGCCATTTTATGGTGTAATGAAGGATCAGGTGAGTATAAGCTTTCTCCTTTGCCCCTCTTTAACATTCATATTGTCTACTTGCTGATGATCAATGTACTTTTCCATCCCCACTGATTAGAATAATTTAGGTGAAATTGATCTGTTTTGCATGCAATTGAAGACACAGTCAGGGGCAGACTGACAACTCATGGGGCCCCCGGCAATAGGGAATCATGGGGTCCTTGTGTCCTTGCCCAAACTCAAAAAAGCCTATGAAAAAAGGTACCAGGGGCATCTCATGGGGCCCCCTACTGACCCTGGGCCCTCGGGCAGTGCCCGAGTTTCCAAATGGTCAGTCCGCCCCTGGACACAGTATGTATCTTTTTTATCATTTATAGATTTGGTCATATTATCAGATTCTGTGAAGAATTGTTCAATCAGAACATTACTTGAACAGCCATCATTACAATCTGATTATACAATCTTTAAACAATCTAATGGAGGCCATAGATGGGTCGAAAACCGGCCGTTTAAAAAAACAAAAGAAAAAAAAAAAACAAAAAATCACTCGTTCAATAGGCCGACGTTACCACCAATGGTAAAAAAAATCGGCCGATTTTCGTCCCGTCTACAGCCAGCATTTAATTACTTCTGTCCTTGCAGAGAGCTCCGCTATTATATTTGACATGAAAAAGTATTGCGGCTGCAACAATGTATTCATTTGTATCCATTTCGGATACAGGTGGGGTTTTTTTTGGATACAAATAGATACATTGTTGCAACCGCAATACTTTTCATATAATAGCAGACTGGAATTCTTCTTTTTCTTCTTCTTTTTCTTCATCTTGCAGTTCACAGCTCATGCGCAGATTTTTTATCGGTAAAACGATCGGCCGATTTGCTAATCATTGCCGGAAAAATCGGCCGATTTTTTTTTTTTCCAACTTTACAGATAAAAAAAAAATGTGCCAAAACCCTGAAAAAACGGCTGACCACTTAACCCACTAACGGTGCGAAAATAGGCTGATTTTTTTTCCGGCCGAAAAATTGCCCAATTTTCGACCCGTCTATGGCCTGCATAAGGCTACATTCACACTTGAGCGATTTGAAGTTCGAACCTCCAAAAACGCTCAAACTTAAAAAATCAATTGTTCTTTATAGTGTCTGTTCACACCTGATCACACGAACAGGCACCATAGAGAACTATTGATTTTTTAAGTTTGAGCATTTTTGGAGCTGCGAGCTACAAATCGCTCAAGTGTGAATACAGCCTTAGATTTACCAAAACTATGTGATAGGGAAAGCCCTTGCACTATCTAGCTGTTAGTAGAGCTTAAACACTATCATCAGTCCCTTCCAAAAAAATTAAGTCAGCAGCTACAAATACTGTAACTGCTGACTTAATAAAAGGACATTTACCTGTCCGTGGAGCCAGCTCTGTCCTCGCCCAGATCAGTTCTTTGACAGTTTCAGGTCCCCAGTTTTGACATGTTTACTTGCGGCTTCACA